CACAGCTGGTCATCCAGTACATATGGCTTCACTTCCACCTGGGAAAGGAAGACATTTTTAGCTTAGCACACGTAAAGGCAGGCTGACCATGAAGAACAAGGATCATAAACCATTTAACCTTCTGGCATTTTTGGGTCACACTTGGTACCCTTAGCAGTCAAAAGTGACTAAAGACTTTAAATTAACTTTTTTTACTTTGATTTTCCTGGAGAGACAGAAAAAAATATTTTTGTTTTATGATACTATGCAATATTTATAACATTTTTATGAGCGGTTTTTGTCATTAAATTGAATTCCGAGCCCCTTTCATTCTTCATGAAAATCAATGTAGTTTATTTTGGTTCAATTATATATTTTTATTATTATTTAGAATTTTGAGGGGTTTTTAATGATACTATGCAATATTTATGAGCTATTTTTTTTCTATAGCCATTAATGACTGCGAAGGTACCAAGTGTTACTCGTTTTATTTTTTGACACTTTAATATATCCAAGTCATGTCCATTATTTTTTTTGTGTGCGTGTTCACATATCTAATGTGACAAAAGTCACCAAATGTCATCCCATTCCGATGAAGCAACAAAATTGTAAAAAGTCAAAACGCAAAATCTTTGTCATTCCTAACCAAAGAGGGTTAAACAAATAAGAGCATGACATTATTGCAGTATACAGTAGATCAGAGCTCTCCTTTCTTTTAGAGGAAGATTATCCATATGAAAACTTTAGGTGGCCTTTCTTTTCTAGACTGCTTATTCAATATCAGGTTTCACTGCAAGTAACAATACCCTTATAACTCGAAATTAGGGTCCAGACATAAACTCCTTCAAAAAGGAACTGAAATTTGAGTGCTTAAATTGCACTCCGGTTTGAATATGGACTGGAGAAAACTAACGAAGAAACTAGACAGTTCACAAGAACAACCAGGAAACAGATTCAGTCAGAGGGCCGTATAAAATTACTGCCAGCCCTGCAGCAGATGGTGCTAATATTGCATCTATGGAAAGCTGAAGATCTTTATTCGGCAAAGCAAAATGGACTTGACTGTATCAGTTTGCATATACTACACTGCTCGAAGATCCAACCCCTCTCTCTCACCCGTTTATCGATCTCTCCGTGTTGCAGCTGCACAAAGCGAGCGCTGATAGCAGCAATGTAGCTCTGCTGATTGGAGAAGGCCACTCGTCCAGCC